CTTGATATGATAGAAAAACAATCATTGTTTATTATTTCTTTGTGGACTATTAAAAACCTTGTCTTAAACTTTTATGCCCGTTTTCACCATCAATTAGAGATGAAACGGATATCCGGTAACTATCCAGTAGGCCGGATATCCGGCCTAAATTTACTATCCGGCCGGATACCGGATAGTAGTAACTCACTATCCGGCCGGATACCGGATATAAAAAAACTACGACAATCTACGACCTCAAAGATGAATGTATTTCATTTTATTAATAGGAATATTAATAAAATGAAATACATTCATCTTTGAGGTAAAAATCAATTAAATGGCTTACAATAATGACGGCTTTTATTTAAAGTCCAAAAAGTTGCAAAAAAGCCATATTAAGGCCTTTGAAAACTAATTTCTTTTTCTGGGCTATTCACTCTAATGACGAATACATAAATAGTAAATAAATACCTATTTTGATTAATTATAAGATTCAGTTATGGATGTATCGTATATACCTACCAGTATATTGACAAAATAGTAAGACACGGGTCTTAACGCGACGTTTATTAATGAGTTACATTAATTATGTACTCACGGTTTGACGTTTCGGCTGCGATGCTGCAGCCGTGGTCACAAGCAGACTGGCTTATATTGACAGTTATTTGCGACTGGATTAGTAGTTTGCCTATCGACCATAAAGCTACTGTGGCTACGGGTTCGAATCTTGCATTATAATTCACTTGAAATTTTTAGGAAAAGCTACAAATATGTTATTTTAAAATATTGTTACTAATATCTTAATAACTCGAGAAGAATACTCAAAAGTCACACGGAATGTACAGTACCTCTAGCATGAACAACTTTCGAGTTCGAATCGTTTGTCTATTCGAATCGCCATCAAAAAATTTAGTACGAAAACAACAACAGCGCCCTTGTGAACGTGTCGTAAAGTGAACAATGAACATAGTATGAGAAATGGTTGCATGAAACTTATTTCGAGAGTCAAAATTGTCACGTTATCGTTTAATCCGAAGGTTGAGTATCGAATTTTATCGAATATTCAAACGATTCGAAGATAAAAGTTGTTCATGCTAGAGGTACAGGTGCCGGCACGTAAAACTGAACATCTTGTTTAGTTGTAGGTATTAAGAGCGCATTTGGAACGAAAATGTGTGCTTTCGACTGTACAACAATGTCTAGACCCAAACTGTAACTGAGAACAGAAAGGAACAGTTGTAGGAATCTAATTTTTAAGAAAATAAGGTTCATAATGTCGTTGACAGACGATGTAAACTTTAGATTGAAACGGTACCAGTACCTCTAGTAGGAAAAACTTTCGAGTTCGTTTCGTTGCGTATTCAAAGTGTCATCGAAAAATTTTGTATGAAAAATTAAACAGCGCCCCCTATATTATAGCCGCCCTAGGGGGCGCTGTTTAATTTTTCATACAAAATTTTTCCAGTACCTCTAGTAGGAAAAACTTTCGAGTTCGTTTCGTTGCGTATTCAAAGTGTCATCGAAAAATTTTGTATGAAAAATTAAACAGCGCCCCCTATATTATAGCCCCCTATATTATAGCCGCCCTAGGGGGCGCTGTTTAATTTTTCATACAAAATTTTTCGATGACACTTTGAATACGCAACGAAACGAACTCGAAAGTTTTTCGTACTAGAGGTACTGTACCATGTACAGATACGTGCTACTAGATATCCACTTACGTCCAGCGCGTAGACTAACTTAGATGTCAAGGCGATGACGACGTCGTAGCATATATTTAAAAAAAAACACTGTTTTGGGATTCCCTATTAATATGAAGTCCCAGTATAATATACTCAACATCAAATAAACCGCACCTTCCGCGACGCGAACTTTAACGATTTTCTTCTGACACAATCATAGTGCCCCAACAATATTGGTGTTATTTGAAAGCCCAATAAATATCCTTAAAGAAAAACACATTTAATTTCTTAATAAATGATTAACATATACCATAAATGTGACTTGAAAAAATACCTCACTTTGGGCCCACCTATGGGATCAATTAGACCAATTTTTGTTGTTATAAAACCAAATAATGATTTCACGTGTCCTCTTTAACAGATGGATAGCGATTAATCCCAACTTAACAGTTTTATAGCCATAAAAGTTGACGCAAGCGTAACTACCTATTTTTTGAAGAAGTGACTCTGGATCCTTCTAAAGACACATTTCTGGGGTAAAAAGTGTAAAAACCTTTCCTTTAATGAAATGAAGGTTAGAACTAGGCTTTTAAATGGTGCCAATATTGGTAGGAAGTGGGGATGCATACGTTTGAAAATGCTTGTCGCGGGTGGTGCGATTTATTTGATGCCGAGTGTATTTCCAAATGCATAGACAAACTATTGCTTTAGAATAATAATGGGACCGTGAAGAAATAGCAACTTGGCACTAATTAATACCTACGCATATTCAATATTCATAAACGATGCTTGCTTAAGTGAAGCTGCAAATCAAACGTCCAGCGTTGAATAGAGCTCTGTAATTGGTTCACGTGTCACCCTATGCGTCCACGTGCACTGTGAGACCTCATAGTAATGATTGTGAATACGGGCGCTAGATATTAGAGAGATTTAAGTCTTAATAACTAAGGATGCAAGGACTTCAAACTGATAATCATCTATTATCACACAGTTACGAAGGGCATCGGACATGGTCACGTCAAATAGGGCTATGGGTTCGATTCTAGCCGGAGATAGGTAGATAAGATGACAAGTTATAAGTAGGTATACGGTGTCATGTTTATTTCTGATGAACATAGGCGGTACGAAGTTCGCCGGCTCAGCTAGTATAAAAAATAGTTTTGCAGTTTAGCTATGATTTCCAATAAGACAGTCTTCTTTAATGTCAATAATGTATTTAATTTAGTTTTATAAGATTTTTTATGCCCATTCATGAAACAATCTTTTTACCAAATATTATTAAAACTAGCGGCCGCCCGCGACTTCGTACGCGTGGATCCCGTTTACCCCCTTACGGGTGGAGTTTCGTAAAATCCTTTCTTAGCGGATGCCTACGTCATAACATCTACCTGCATGCCAAATTTCAGCCCGATCCGTCCAGTGGTTTGGGCTGTGCGTTGATAGATGACTAAATCAGTCAGTCAGTCAGTCATTGCAGTCAGTACCTTTGAGTTATATTAAGTACTAGCGGCATTCATTCCATATTTTATTTCCCATAAATGATTTACCTTTTATGCTTGTTTCGCGGTTTACCTATAATTTCCAATAAGACAAGGTCAGTGTGACTTTACGAATACCTATAGATGTCAATAATGTATTTAGTTAATTTAGTCTTATAAGATTTTTGTTATTAATTCATAAAAAAAATCTTACTAATTATAATCGTTTTTTAAATACTCTTCTGAATTCAGTAGAATAATTACTAATTAGTCTACAACTACATAAGTACCTAATATAAATATAAATGAATTAAATAACATACCTGGGAGAAGCTGGATGCGGGCAGCGCAGGAGGTGGAAATACTTGATGAGGCCTTGTCCAGCAGTGAACACCTTTAACAAAGAATAAACGAGGTCCATAAGGTGTAAATACAGTAATGTCTGCCTTCTGTGGGATTTGAACCTGCCAACAGCTGACACTGTATAGTTGCTGTGTAGGCGAGTGTGCTTTACTTGTGTGGTGGCTCGCTACTGCTCGTTTTTCAAAAGTTTTGACGGACATTACACTATCGTTATGTGCGTGTACAGTGTACACACACAAGTAAATATCACTCGCCTTCGTGAGTTGCAAGAACTTTAACTACATCGAGTAGTCGGGCATGCAGACGCGGGAGATTCTTACTGACTGTTGTTGGTATCTAAAGGTAGAGGTCGCTACTCTCCATACATATTAAATTTTATAACTGAAATAATACACAAATAATTTAAGACGGATAATTTAAATAAAATGATACGTAAATAAATAATATTTCAGTAGCACCAATTTCTTGTTACTTAATATGACGCACGATATTTAGTAAGGTTCTTCTATTCGGCACTAGATGTCGCTATCAGTATGTGACAAAACAAACAGTTTACAAGAAGTATAATGAAGGAAATAAATAAATGTCTATTTATTTAACGATAATTATTTTGATTAATGTAATTAATAGAATATTTTACTATATTATTTTAAAAATATTTATGTGTAGTTCCTAAATACTACGCTAGAGGTAGCACCATGTTTACCCATTGTATTAATAGGTGGCAGCACTGCATACTTGCTACGAAACAATTTAATTGCTGGTAATCTCTAATCTAAATTAAATTATTACATAGAGATACCATTACTTTAAGCCGTGTGGTGACGGCAGAGTAGAATACATTTGTCACCAACCCCTACTCTTCCCGCGGGTGTCGTAAGAGGCGACTTAGGGACTACACATCAAACAGAGAATGGGCAGCAGCGCTCTCTGAAAAACATCAATCTTTTAAACTGCGATCTCCAACCCGCCTGCCAAGCGTGGAGATTATGGCAAAACCCTCCACTATAGTGGAGGAGGCTCATAGTCCAGCAGTGGACTGTAAAGGGCTGTTGATGACCATAACTTTATCCTTATTTATTTTTGATATTTTTTGCTTTGATTTTAATGGAAATTTTGTGAGCAATAACGACGCCCCCTATTGGCTTTATTTTGAACTGCGCCTTAGAATGTGACTTCTTTGATAAATAATTTGAATTTAATAATTATCTTAAATTCTGTTAATGTAGTAGTTATATTTATTAATTTGTTCATTCAAGTCAAAGTTGTAAACATTATTTTGACGTAATAGTGTTGCAGAAACTCCACGTGTCAAAGTCAAAATGTAATTAAAATCGACAAAATATTGCACACCGTTGCAAATACGCAATTTCACGACTTATTAACTTCTTAATCAAAACATTCACTCGCAAATTGAACTTAGACAGTTTTCGATGCTTGCCGGGATGTGTGTTTAAAAAGTATTTTTTCAAATCGACTGTCCATTTTGTAAACTAAAATGTTTTTCCAGTTTGTACTCGTGGTTCTAGTCGTGGCTTATAATGTGGATGTAGCACAGACTGAATGTATGTAATTGATTTTTTAAATTAATCCTAATATTTTCCACTTCGTGGAAAGACGATTTTATAAAGTTAGCAAGAAAGCTTGATGCTGGCCGCTACCGACCGGGCGATGTGGAAGTCTTTGGGGGAGGCCTATGTTCAGTAGTGGACGTCCTGTGGTTGAAATGATGTCCCCTCCGTGGACAGACGACCTCATAAAGATAGCAAGAAGGCGCTGGATGGCCGCTACCAATTGGTCAATTTGGGGGAGGCTCATATTTAGCAATGGACGTCCTGCCGCTGAAATGATGTCAACTCGTGGACAAACGCGATAAAGCGATAAAACGTGATAAAGATAGCATGTTTGTCAATGATCCTAAATTGACTGTGTATAGAAGATTTTCTATTGTTACAGCTTACGACCTAATAATAATCCCGGTACCAAAAGCATCAAAGCATCCGACGCGATCGAAAAAGATAATCGAAGTAAAACTACCCACGTTGATCCGGTACAGCCAATCCCAACACAGGAAGGGGCAAAACAAGCTTGACATCGAACAATACGAAGAGCCCACAGAGCTCCCTGACATTGACAACTTTCAGTACAAAGAAAGAGATGGATATAGAGGCTCAGATAGTACTTTTCATGGATATGACATGTATAGCAACTATGGTGAGGATAAAATTGTGGGAGGTTTTGAAGTGGACATAAATTTGTATCCGTATCATGTGGCTTATGGCACTAACTGTGGTGGAGCTATCATAGACAAGAAGTGGGTCATCACTGCGGGGCATTGTGGGTAAGAGAAGATTTAAAATAGAGTCACTAGTAGATGCAGGCCACTAGGTACCAACAGATCATGAAATCATTGGGGAGGGCCTGTGAAGGCTGATATGATGATAATGATGAAGAAAGTCACTAGCTCATTGGTTCTAAAAAGGTTGGCATGGAGGCTAATGTTCTACAAAAGCACTGCTCTGTCTGTCCTCTGTGTAAGGCCGATAATGAAATTGAAAATTGTATTTTTTACTTCAAGATTTATCTTTTGTATTCAGACCTTCATCGTCTTTGGGTTTCTTTTAATTTATACATTAATTACTGGCAATTATTAGTATCTACCGAGTATTTTCTTGCATCGATAATATTAGGCCCAAAAAGATCACATTTTGATCAGTAGTACAATCCCTCAACTAACTGTTTCGGGTTTTTAGTTTCAGCCATTATTTTCTGTGATCTTTTACTTTTGCTGAATTCCCTAAATAAAAAAATGAACCCATCACAAAATAATCTCAAACTTATTTCAAAGCAAGAAGCCGTACATTAGAGTGGGGTCCAAATACCTCAACCAGGGCAGGAAGGTGGACATCAAGAACTACCATGTGCACCCAACATGGAGTGCCAGCAATAAGGAGCACCCCTTCGATTATGACTTTCAACTCCTGGAGCTGAAGGAGCCTCTGAAGTTTGATGAGAACATACAGCCAGTGAAGATCGCGCATATCGAGGATATGGTCATTGGAAAGGTTGTGACGGTGACTGGGTGGGGCAATACGGAGGAAAACGTAAGTTTTGTTCATTTTAGTCTTTAAAAGAATGGAGATAGAGTCCACGTCTTGTTATTCAGCTAGACCTTCTGCCTCTCACACTCAAGAAAACATATTTGGTAGTAGGCTTGAAGTCAGTGAGCTAGACTTTGAAGCCCAAATTGGATTAACCCGGTAATTATAGTCAATATTGACGCCTGGGACTGAAGCCATATTGGTGATTGGTTATTTTCTGTAATCATACTTAGTTTGGACAAAATAGGTTCAGGGTCTACATTTTGTAAAGCAGCAGATTCCGTGCTCTCGACATCATCTCAAGACAAGAAAGAATCTACTACTTAATCTTATTAGTTACTTCTCAAGGCATCGATGGTCTTATTATGATGACATCAGGGCTACTAAAGGCTTCTCCTGCCCTCTATTCCCTTTAATTTTAATGATGAAGTTAAGTTTACCCATAAAGGTGACGTATAATGTATAATTGAATGATCAAACGAACTTACCAAGTGAAGTTCGATCTAAATTATCCTGTTTTCGCCGAAGAGATTTAAGTTACCATGTAGTAGTACCCCTGTACGACAACCCAATCCGCACACAATATTCAGCGTAGTAGTAGTAAAAAACAAAAGAGCGGGCAACCCCACCCCTACCACGCTGTGGGCTCGGTGTCCGAGCGGTCTCATTATATTTAGAGAAGAGATGACATTGACGTTTACCTCCAGGGAAGAAGATATAGAAATCTTCGGGTTGGGAGGGACCTTAAATCTCTTCGGCGAAAACAGGATAATTTAGATCGAACTTCACTTGGTAAGTTCGTTTGATCATTCAATTAAAATGACCGAATATAAAGTGGTTGCTGGTTAATATCTCGTATTAACTCGCTAGAGCAGAAAATGGCTACTGGGTAACATCTCGCATTACCTCGGAGCAAAAAATGGCTACTGGTTAACATCGCGCGTTAACTTGGAGCTAAAAATGGGTCAAAGTTACGCGTCGTGTCACAACGCTTATAATAAAAATGTACGAGCACTTGCACAAAATAGTTGTTAAAACCAACCTTGTGTTGGGTCTAATTCTCGTCACTACACTGCACAACTTAAAATAATTACGTTTTTTGTCGGTAAAAACGTCCTGGTGACGTCACTTAAGCATTTTTCTTATACTGCGTGCGGTCGTTGCGCGTGCGCACAAAGGAATGAGACCGCTCGGACACCGAGCCCACAGCGTGGTAGGGGTGGGGTTGCCCGCTCTTTTGTTTTTTACTACTACTACGCTGAATATTGTGTGCGGATTGGGTTGTCGTACAGGGGTACTACTACATGGTAAAATAAATCTCGGAGGCGAAAGCAGGATAATACAAATTCCTGGCCACATTTTCTACATTTAACAGAAATGCCAATCGCTAGCGACCCATGGAGGCACACTCACAACAGAAATATGGGAACAGTGGTTTCACTTCTTTTGATTTTTTTCTACTTTAATAAAGGTCGCGGGAAGTACCTGGATGCGGGCGGCGCAGGACTGATCGTCGTGGAAATCCTTGGGGAGGCCTTTGTCCAGCAGTGGACGTACTTTTTTATTCTGCATCGCTTGTGACATCATGGGATGAGACAAAATAATGCATTGATATGATTTGTAAAGTGTCAGCCCATTTTTAATGCAGACGCAAAAGATGGTGAAGCCCAGACCAATCATACTGTAATTATTAAGATTTTATTTATGTAAAAGGAAGACAAAGAAAAATCAAGAGCTATGAGGATTTTTAAACAGACATGGATGAGATTTTGTTATACTTAGTAAAGCAGTACGTGGCAGTTTGTGGCATATCGAGCTAGATCTTGAGTTTTAGGTGTTTCTATTAACCGAGTTTTCTTTACTTATAGTTAAGCTGTACGTGGTAACATGAGGCAACCAAGCTAGAGTTATGGTGTCTACATTAGGCAAAAATAAATAATAAAATACTGACATAGCCCGCAGAATCGCTAAAACAAGTGGCAGTGGGCGGGGCACATAGCTCGTAGAGCTGATGGCCGCTGGGGCAGGAAAGTTCTTGAGTGGCGACCACGAGCCGGAAGACGTAGCGTGGGCAGGCCTCCTACTAGGTGGACTGACGATCTGGTGAAGGTCGCGGGAGGTGCTTGGATGCGAGCGGCGCAGGACCGGCCTTTGTGGAAATCCTAGCCTTTGTCCAGCAGTGAACGTCTTTCGGCTGAAACGAGAAATAATAAAATAACTATTGGGCTTGCTGGCACCATTTGTATTGTGCTAAAGGTTAATATCAGCGCACGCGCGGGAGGCGGAACCAATGTGTTTTTAATTTACAATCTTGTTTTTGCCAGCGTTCTCCTCCTCAGCCAATTGGTCACATTAATGTTTGTTTAATAATCGATGATGATATTAAATATGCGCACATGTTTTTAAGACTGCAATAACACATTTTGTGTAGGTACTTACCTAAAAAGATCTTTGGTCTGAAATTTTAAAAGTGCACAAGACATGTAAAGTAATATTAAACGAGACATTATTTTTAAGATAGGCCATTTTATTTGAGGCACAGTCACAAAATGCGTTTAAAGTTGTTGGAAATCCTGATAGAAAATAGAATAGGACCACTAATTCTTCCAGTTGATGTCGCAAAAAGCGACTAATTAGGAAAACCGAACTTCTTATCCCCAGCCTGTCTGGCCTGTGAGGGGAGTGTAGGCCAAATCCTCCATTTGCCTTTGGTAAATTAGAAAGGGCAGCGTAAGACGTCCACTCACAAGATGGACCGACGACCTCATAAGCAAGCAATAAAGCGTCCATAATAAATATATTAAAGTTTTTCAAACCCATACATAATGCTGTACTATTAACATACTTCTAAGAACATTGTTACTAACCCTACTAACATAGTCTCTAAGATCAAATTGTTACCAGAATAACCAAAGTATGGACTGAATTGTCTGAAGGGTAGCAGGATGGCGTAAGGCCGCTACCAACCGGTCAATATAGATCATTGGGGGAGGCCTATGTTCCGCAGTGGACGTCCTATAGCTGAAAATATGAAACTAGAAGAGAGTTGTGCCCCTTTAAGCTTTAACCACACCAACGCGTGCAGATCGCCATCGCCGGTGCGATCATAGATAGATAGATAAATGGTTTATTTGCAAAAACACATTGACACACAAGAAGCAAAAAGTAAGATTAATAAACACAGGAGTAGCAGAAAAGATATAGTACATTACAAAGAGTAAGAAAGAAAATCCTGCGCCCTAAGGTATAAGTGTGCCGCAGCGATGCAAAAAAGCAAAGAGCTCAGTGTAGACACTGCTCTAAAATGAGCAGAACACTGATTTTCAGCTTTTGCTTGAAAAAAAAAAGAAGAAAGACGCACAAGAATGGTAGAGAATATGGTGGTGAAAATGTTGTACTATTTTAAACCTACATAAATATCAAACCTACATAGGCCAATGACTGGTCGCGCGACCCATGACAGTCCACGCGACCTGTCATTGGCATAGGCCTGTGATCGCGCTGTGATCGCGCCGGCGATGGCGATATGCTCGCTATGGTGTGGTTGAAGCATTAGTGGAGACTAAATGACCTGATAATCTTCCATTACAGGGTCCATACTCAAACGTGCTAAGAGCGGTGCGGGTGCCCATCATCTCTAAGGAACACTGCCAGAATGTGCCTTTCCCCTATTTCAGGGGAGGACTCACAGCAAGGATGTTCTGCGCAGGATTCTCAGAAGGAAAGAAGGATGCTTGTCAGGTAGGTATTTGATGTCAATTTTGAAGACAGCAAAAAGGGAATAAAGCAACTTTTCAGAGTTCAAATATGTAACTGAACTTAAATTTTTGTGGCAAAATAGCAATTATAACATGTATGCATAAGGTACAAAAGTGTATAGCAGTTACGAGTAGCTTGATGTGGTGTCATAGAATTGGCAAACTTAAGTGGCTGTAGGAGGGACACGTATCTCGTAGAACTGATGGCCGTTGGGCCAGAAAAAATCTCGAGTACAGTCAAATGGTTCGTGACACCCAAAATGGCTAAAAAGTTGATAGATAACACAATCTTATTCCAATGAGGGCTATCGTTTTAGCGCTCACTGTAATGTCCTGTCACTTGCTAGTAGCGAGGACAGTGACGCCAACTGGTGAGCGCGAAAGTGGTAGGAGGACTATCGTATTTGCACTCATCAAGATTGCGCCACTGTAGAGTAAGGTCCTGTCAATCGCCAGGGGTGCCAACTGTTAAGTATAAAAACGATAGTCCTCATTGTAACGAAGACGTGTTGCGAACTTATTAACTACTTTGTGTAACGAACTATTTGACGCTGACTGAATTGCCAAACTTAAGCGGCTGTCGATGGAGCACATATCTCGTAGAAGTGATGGCCGTTGGGCCAGAAAAAAACTTCGAGTACAACGGACTGTAGCAGACCTTCACTCAAATTCAAATAATTTTATTGCATATCATATCATGGGTAAGGGTTCACAGTCACTTCTTCATTCGGTGGACCAACGATCTTGCAAGGGTCAGAGTAAGCATCTAACACTAAACTGGCCATTGTGCAAATCCCTGAGGGAGGTTTTTGTCTTTTGGCTTGACGAATTCATGGGTTTTTTCCAGGGTGACTCTGGAGGTCCAGCGGTGTCCTACGACCGGATCCTGGGCATGGTGTCCTTCGGCTACGGCTGCGCCACTCCTGGCTCCTACGGCGTCTACAGCAAGATCGCCAAAGTACGATCCTGGATCGAACAGACTACTGGCATCAAGTTCGATTAGCACATCAAAGAGATTTGGAATAGTCTGGTGTTTTATTTATCTTCACCTACCTTCAAAAATGCGTTGACCTTCTTTAATAAAATATTGATGATTGTTAAACATAATAATAGGCCATATAAGGTGAGTGACAGCAAGTAAAGTAAAAAAAATACGACTTCTGTGGCAAAAAAAAATATTCTTAAATATTTACGACAAAAACTTGTAGCTGGTTTTTATAGCTCTATATATTTTCTAGCTCCATTTAAAATATCTTTGAATAAGCACTAGACAATAGATTATAAACATTTAATAACCTTTTTTTTTTCAAAAACAGAACATTGTGATAGGTACAGAAACCACTAAGACAAAAAAATAAATATTCATGCACACAAAATAATCATTTATTTAGGTATTAATACAAATATTGTGTGGGGATCGAACCTGCGACCTCTGACAAAACAGACTGTCGCAAATCACTAAGCTAGGAAACATTTCAAATTAGGTATATTGTACTTGAATGTTTCAATGAAAAAATCCTTTAAAAAACAAACTTGTAACAAAAACGCCTGACCAAAAAAGAAAAAGCTAACGCCCACGCACGTCTAAGCCGTTCACTAATTTCGTGCGGCTCGTCATCGGGGATATAGCTCAGTGGTAGAGCATTCGACTGCAGATCGAGAGGTCCCCGGTTCAAACCCGGGTGTCCCCTAGGGTTAAGGACTGTCCTTGACCTTTCAATTTTTTTTTTCATTTTAAAAAACATAATTAAGCAAGCTTGCATTTTTTGTATGGTGGTCTAAATATATTTTTGATTAAATGATCTGATGATGATGAGTGACGGTGCTTTGGTGTGTGGTGTAGAAGATGATAAAAATGATAAAATTATAATGCCTTTAGAAGACTTTTTGCACCATTTTTAAACATTTAGTTTCTTTTTTTTAAAAGAATATTTGTAATTTGTTATTACAAAAATTACTAATAGTCCCGTTAGCCCCTCGTACTAAGCTAAGTTTTTTTTAAACGCAATGATCTTGTTGAAACAGTTTTTTACTAGTTCACGTTACAATTTCTAGTAACCTTACGATATCCACTCTTTTTGTATTATTTATAGTAATAAAATGTACTTTTATTTTCCATGGCGATAACTCGCTTCTGGTGCATATTCGAACTGATTTCACAACAATACGTTGTTCATGGGTTAGTAAAGTGATTTTGTCATCGTGTTCTAAAAAATACAGTTTTTTAAAAGCAAAGGTGCATAAAGGCGCTGGATGTAGGCCGCTACCAACCAGCATATCTGGAAATTATTGAAAGCAAGAAAAATATTTATTTGGTACTAAATGATACACATCGACATTAAAAAGGCCTATTGGGGAGGCCTATATTCAGCAGCGGACGTCCAGTGGATGAGATGGTGAGGTTGATATTTTTTCCTACTTTCTTTATACGAGCTGCAATTACCTACTTAGATGGAATTTAATCAATCAATCATCATCATCATCATTTCAGCCACAGGACGTCCACTGCTAAACATAGGCCTCCCCCAATGACTTCCACATCGCACGGTAGGTAGCGGCCGGCATCCAGCGCTTTCCTGCTACCTTGTCAGGTCGTCGGTCCAATTTTCCCAATGTTTGTATTCAATAACGTTTGGAAAAAGGTCGATTGTTAGGCATTGCTAATGTATGAAAGAATATTTCTTATTGTGACGGAGTACCGTCACACCCAAAGTGAAGCCACAGCACAGCTCCGACACTACTGTCGACCTTTAGACTGTGTATTAATGTAGTTTTTAAAATAGTTATTATTTATTCGTTACTATCAGAATACTAGGAGGCCATAGAATCAGGATAGAGGACGCTCCGTTCCAGGTGAACTACGGAGACATCTGCGGGGGGGTGATGATCCATGCAGTGTGGGCGATGACGTCAGCACACTGTGGGTAAATGCCATTTTTACATCATCACCAGTTCATTTAGTCTTTTTTATCCACAACGAGAAAGCTCTTGGCCTGCATCTCACCTGATGGAAAGTGATGATCAGGCCGAAGGTGGAAGCGAGCTTCAGCTAGAGTCCTAAACTACAGATGGACTGGCTATCTTACCTCCAACTGCCTGCAACACAATAATGCTGTTAACATTGTTGTTATGGCGAAAGACTTGGGTAATATGGTGGTAGCTAGTCAAGTGAACTTAGAACAACAAGCCCTAAAACCCGCACACAATGGCCCAATCAAGAGGCTAAGAGAGGGATTCGATTGCTCAGCAAAACTAACTAACTAAGCCCTACCACCACGATCCTGGCAATAAAAGATGTGCAGTGGCGGGAAAGAGAGGAATAAAATTGGTCTCGTAGAGAAACACGACCCTTTCCAATTTACTATTTACTGTGACATTATAATACTGAGACGTGTAAGAACAATATTCTTACATGCAGGCAGGTGTTGAATTTTAATACAGTTTTATGTAAAAAAGAAAAACAATTACTTCACCTTTTTCAGTACAGAAGAAAACTACATCAGGGTTGGCAGCAGACATCGTTTCAATGGATTAAAAATCAAGATTCTCTCCCACCAAAGTCATCCAAACTTCAAGCAGAATCACGAGTACGACTACGACGTTCAGTTGCTGAGATTGTATGGAAATGTTAACTTTAATAGGAAAGTCAAAGCTATAGATATTGGAAGTGAACATGGTAGACATATTTTGGTGGCGGGATGGGGGTATCCGAGGGAAAAAGTAAGTTTTTACCAAGGTTAATTATTATTAAAGTATCTGGGGGCACGGCAGTGCCCCCGCCAAGTCGAGCGCGAAGCAGACACTGCCGTACCATCCTTTACTGGAACCATTTCGCCGCATTTTCAGGCCCCTATTTGAGAACCTCTGGATAAGACCAGAACGCAGAAATTTTCGTTATCTAGTAAGCTATAATCACATACTTTAAATCCAAAATTTCAAGTCTGTAGGTCATTGAGTTCCGAAGTTAAGCGAAAGCAAAGTTTCGCATTTACGACACTCACTCACTCACTCACTCACTGATGATCATCAAAATAGAACTAGTACTTCCCATTAACTCAGAGGGCTGAAATTTGGTACAGAGTTAGGGTTTAATGGCCACATAAAGGGAAAACTATAAAAACTAGGAAAATCGAAGATCTGGAGTAACCACATTCATAATCAATACTACTCCGGCCCCGTGGTGTTCGCCTGTATCGCTCACCGCTAGATGGCGCTAGCACTAGCAAGCGGTGTCCAGATTTTTTTCCTTTCTAGAGAAAGTCGTCGATTAAGTTGAATGTTGTGTAATTTGCATTTCGTTGATTTCGTTTATTATACTGTAAGGTTCGCTTAGGTTATGTTATAATTAAAAACAATCTGATTCGTTGTCCATTTTAAAGGTCGTTGAGTTTATTTGTGTTTAATATCGTAAAAAAATGTTGATAAACGACGACGTTAAATAATTTTGCCACGTTCCACAAAAAGAAGTGAAATCCCACCAAAAACATTCTGTAAAAAACTAGCCAAGTCTCGATGGAGCTGCTTGTTTATCTCTAAAAAGTAATGAAATCTAGACAAAGTCGTGCCAAGTCTATGGTTCCTTACTGCGATTTCTTTATTATTATAGTTAATGTTGTGTGACTTGGCCGTTGAACAATCTTTATTAAGATAATCATACATTATAAATACGCAGCTTTACTGAACCTACAATTGACTGGTTATTGTTGAATCAACGTTTTCCAAGTGGCAATTTTCCATCGTCAGTGGGTAGCGGTTCAGGCAACTGATTGGTGCAATGGTGTCATGGAGCACCTGGTTTTGTCACCCTTCAACGGCCAAGTCACACAACATTAACTATAATAATAAAGAAATCGCAGTAAGGAACCATAGACTTGGCACGACTTTGTCTAGATTTCATTACTTTTTAGAGATAAACAAGCAGCTCCATCGAGACTTGGCTAGTTTTTTACAGAATGTTTTTGGTGGGATGTTACTTACACCAAGGCTCAGTTGGTAGCCCAGTAAAGGGGGAAAGGGAGGATGAAGGGGGAGAGAGAAAAACTCTTGACTTTAATGATGTAGCTTCGATGATCAGATGAGACACATAATGTAGAGTTAAATCACCTTAATACGAGTATACTTATCTGTTCCTAATTATTTTTATCTACTTATAGCGAAGAAGATAATGAGTAATATAAGTAATTTTCGATCTGTATCTAAGATTAAAAAATATTATAATCGCTAAATTAATATCGGATATTATGAAATGATTGATAGAAATCGTAAATCATATTGATCATTGAATAATAGAAATCGTAAGGTATTTTTTGGTAAATAGAGAACTTCTGCAGTGGAGACTAAATGAACTGATGATGATGAGTATGGTAAAAGAGGCCTATTTATTAATTTCTTTTCTTTATTTTTAGTCAGACTACACAGACGTCTTACACCAAGTCAAGCTCTACCGAGTGCAAATGAGCAGGTGTCAGAAGGTGGACAAGAAGTGGTACAACCACACCCTGACTGCTAGGATGTTCTGCGCTGGAGGGATGGGCAGGGATGCTTGTCAGGTAAAAGATTTTATTCTATACGGCGGTCACAGGCACATCAACACAGTCAAGATATTTACACACAATATTTATATGAAAATCCAGGCCTCTTCAAGAGGAGAGTGATTAGTCAAGCATCTACATTACATGGTAAGTATTTACCATCTCACTTAACATCAGGTGTGTGTAGTGTGATTGCAGTCTAATAACTGATTTGTGCTGCATAAAAAGTAGTGAATACTCTTTTTTAACCACAACGGGGAAGCAAGGGCCTGCATTTAGCTTGATGGAAAATGAGGATTGGCTGAAGATGGAAACGAGCTTCTCCCGGAATCATCAAGTATAAAGAAACTGCCCGTCTTACCTCTAAGAAGGCGCTGGATGCAGGCCGCTACCATCCGAGCATTATGGAAATCATTGGGGGAGCGGAGGCCTATGTTCAGCAGTGGACGTCCCATGGCTGAATTGATGATGAATTTGGCGCAAACCGTGGGCAAAAGTTATGCCTGCTTAACCATAGACTCAATTCTGTCCTCCAGGGAGACAGTGGAGGAGCAGCAGTGTCTCGGGGCCGGGTGGTGGGAATCTCGTCCTTCGGCTATGGCTGCGGCCGGTACAATATTCCAGGCGTTTATATCAATATATCGGAAGAAAATATACGGGAATGGATTAGAGGGTATACAGGAGTTTAAGGGTCATAGCATCAACCTGGAAAAGGATCGCAACCGTTTGAAATCAAGGCGGTCAGTATTCTTTGTGCGAAACTCCAAAACTGTAACGCACACTTATCTGCATCGTAACTTAACACAATAAATCACGTAAAAATTAAAGAATTACCAATATTCGTAGAGACGATTCCTTATTTTATGTTAATATAAATTAAAAAAATCACTAACCAGGGTTTGCTCGAGCGCCACCACCACCACCAAACACTTTAAAACACTTCACAAACTTTCCTCGAGACGTCCGTTCGCGGCGGAAGTTGAATAGCGACTGACTGTCCGGTGCTCGAACTACAATAAAGTGAACGATCGAGTGAGTAATAGAACTAGAATGAGTGAATGAATTGACGGAACGAGTTGCCGGATCTGACGTCCGTTGATATCCAATACTTTATAATTTTTTTTTGTTATTGAAATTATTTATTATATTATTAATGATAAATACGAGCAATTTTATTAATTTACAACCATAGCCTTTGGGCCAAACAGAAAATTAGAATTTTAGAAGGTTTAAATTAAATGTTATCACCGCAATAAATAAATAAATATTTTTATCCAGTGCCAAACTAAGCAAAGCTTGTACTTGTACTATGGATAACAGAATAGGTATAAAAATACTTGTTTTTCGTAAATACCTACATACATAATTAATTACACGTAGTAGACACCCAGACCATTGAAAACAAATATAATGTTCATGCACACAAATGTTTGCATTTTGTGGAGTCGAACCTGGGACCTCTAGCATAGTCCAGTTACGCGAACCACTACACTAAACGGTCGACAGTATTTCCTATCACATATTATAACAAAGGATCACACAGCTATGATCTACTATCAAATCAAATCAAATAGTTTATTCAGTAGGTAAATAGGCCCTTTCCAGGGCACATAAACACGTCCTAAATATAGCTTGCCCTACCACCACTTCGGGACAACATATGGGCTGGTGCTGAGAAGAAGTGACGGTATCACAACAGAGTTCTAAGAATCAAAGCACACGATGTGTTGCTAGGTTGCTACGTCGGAGCGGTGTCGCTGCGTCGTCTTACATAGAAATATCTGTGGCGGGCACACGAGCGGTGCGGCGGCGCCGCGTCGCGCGATACGGCGAAATCTTTGCGGTGCGGCGCCGCAACGCATCGTGTGCTTTAGTTCTAAGACCCGTTTTCCACCAAGGCGGAGCGGAGAGGAGAAGTGTTTTGAATAAACATCAGATTTCCTGGTTTCCTGTGTGCTTACCATGAGTTTACGTTAGGTGTGCCCGCTAGCGAGTGCATCAAAAAAAACTTTGAAGTTTTTTGAAAGTAGCCGCTAGGGGGACTAGAGCATTTTCTCGAGCATTTCTATGCAATGTAACGTTTTTACGAATGGTGCAACACCTAGGTAAGTGTACGTAAGTCTATGGTAAGCACACAGGAAACCAGGAAATACGATTGGTTATTGAAAAAACTTCTCCGCTCCGCCATGGTGGAAACCTGACCTAACGCGCATGCAATCAATACTTAACTATTTAGCCAAAACATATCTACCTAGTACCTACTTACAGCCTGTGGTCACCTCGGTTAAGGCAAGCCCGATCCGCCAAGTGTAGATGCCGTTGCAAATTTGCTACTTCATGGTTGTAAATAAACTAGGCCTCATCCCAGACTTCGCCTGCGTATGCTAGTAAGAGGTTCGCACAGCACTAACAATACGACCAAACTTTTATAAGAATAAGAATAAGAATACATTTATTTGCTTAAAACACGGTATATACAGATGATACACAGAAAAATGTTCAGTCATGTTTTGCTTACACGAAGCATGCAAATATTAATTTTGGGCCAAAAAACCCAGTCATGTTAAAGGTACATACATTAGTGCTAAATATTGTTACATAATCATTATATTCAAAACTCTCGGTCATTAAGGAACTCTGTGACACTATAATAGTTTTTACTTTTAAGCCATCCACGCAGTTTATTTGAAAATTGGCTAGAATTTAATGTTTTTATACTTTTTGGTATTTTATTATAATATATTCTAACACACATTGCTACACAATTTCGGTTATATTTCTCAGATCTAGGTATGACTTCCAGAACAAGTCTATCTGGGTCTCTACGGGTTCGCAAATTTATATCGCAGACTCTTTTGAACAATGTAAAATGTTTTTTGACAAAAGTACATATTTCTAAAATATACAAAGACGGTAATGGTAACAAACCAAACTCTAGAAATAAGAATCTACACGATTTGTCGGATGATATCCCAGCTATAGCTCTAATACATTTTTTTTGCGCTCTATTAAAATCTGTACTATTATCCGAGAATAACTCCTGGTATAACATTGACGTTGACAGTTTCAGTATGAGAAATATGTCAAAATGTTGAATAACTGACGATTTATTCTGAGATTAATATTTACTCTTGTTTGGTCGAATCCACCCTTAATATACTTAGTATGTTAAATTCTAAAGTTTGTAAGTATACGAGTAGATCAGTCTGTCCCAAAGTGGGCGATAACGCCCCCTTGTGGGCGCTGCAGGCTTAAAGGGGGGCGGTAAGAGACCCAGAAAAAAAATCGGGACGTTGTGTAGAGGCTTGGGAGGCGTCATTTACTAGGAGGACTCTTAGACACCGACTGAGCACTCGACCCTCGACTACAAATGGGGGCGCTAAAAAAAAATTATTCTCAAAGTGGGCAGTAGACAAAACAAGTTTGGGAACCACTGGTATAGATGTACGTTTTTGGTCTTTATTGTACATCACACAAAAGAGCGTAACACAAATTAGGCGCTCTCGTCGATAGGAAGCGAACTCCAGACGACACAGGGAAATGACTGATGTTTAAAATGAAAGGGTAAATAATTAAGCTAGTTAATTTTAATAATTCATTAGACAAAGTAAAGATGAACTAGTTCATTAAAATTTTGTGGTTTCCAATCATATTTGCAATAAAAGCAATTATAGAACTGACTAAAAACTGCATCAAAAATCAGTTTTAGCAAACAAAAATTTCAGTTTGTTTCATCAAAGTATCCAATATTCATAGGCCAATTGCAAACAGACCATCAATCCAAAAGCAATATCTACAATCTATCAGTTTTTCTATCAGCGAGCGCAACTGGGAGCGGGCACCGAAAAATTCCAGTCATATATCAACTGAAACCCGAAAGGCAATATCGGTAAAAGCGACTATTGGTCCGTCCAATCAGACAGCCATTAACTGCGACGGCCTGAAAACGGCTGAAAAATCCCCGTGAAATTTCATTTTTGAGGACCTCCTACCTCCTCCATAACATATACATCAGTGGAGATACGCGCACTGAAACGTGCGAGCTATATATGTATTGAGTTAATGTAATTATCTCAATTTTGTATAAAATAGCCTTAGTGTGCACGCCACGCTCGTGTGGGTGGTCGCGTATACATTTGTATGCGTTTATTTTATCTACAAACCGTGTTTGCAGTGTATTGATGTGGGGGCCACCCCTTCAGGGGGCAATGACGATGACGCCGAGTCTGCGCAAAGTCAGAAAGGGACAACAAGCAAAACCTAGGTATACCAAACCCTATAGTCTAGGCATTCACCCCACTCGCTATAGCCATGATTAATACTAGGTATTTTACCACGAATTGCCTGTTATTACGCTATATTGAAGCAGCAACGAAGTAAATGTAAATGATTTTAACGTACAAAATGAGACCTCATTTTCGATGGAGGGTCGGTCATTAATTAAAAATATACAGCAAATAATACAGGTGCTCATCATCAGGAGTGGTTAAAGCTAGTTAATAAAGTAGCAGTTGGTCTGCATCAACTAAGATAGCATAAGATGAACTCCAAAAACAATGTGGCTACTGAAAAAATCTATTTCAAAAGTACTGAATTAAGAAAAGCGATATAACCATACTATTTTCTAAAAATGACAGTACAGTAAACATCCACAGCTACTGTGGTATCTTATAGTAGTTTCAATAGGGATGTTTTTGCTGCAGAAAGGTGTATCGTCTGAGCTGATGACTGTAAAAGTCTGTCGGATTGTGAGTAGGAAAGTATTCAATAACGCTATAGATCTTTAAAACACCTTCTGGTCAATAATTACTTCATGAATCTACAACAGAAGATGTTGCAGACAGATTATCAAAGAGAAGTCCTTTCACCATTACGTTCTTACCTTTTATCTACAGATAACGTTTTTAAAAAACGTTCCTATCTGTTCAAGAAATTACAGCATCCACATTTGAATCTCCAAATCGACTCCATTTAAAAAACGCTTGTCAACAGTTTTCTATTTTTTACCTTCTTTATAGATGTCACCGTAAAATTGTGAATTCTGTCAGATTATAATCTGACGTAGTTAAATTACAATCTAACCTAACCTAACCCACTGTTAGTTTACAATCTAACGCGTTATATTTTATATTGACAGAGTTCACAATTTCACGTTGACATATACAATACTAGCTGAGCCGGAAAACTCATATTACCTATATTCATCAGAAATAATGTAGGATTCCAATGGTGTAAGAATTTTTGAAATTAGTCCAGTAGTTTCGGAGCTTTTTCAATACAAACTTACAAAAATACAAATCATTCATCTTTCTTACATTAGTGTGATACGATCATCTCTTTTTTATCTGGTCTCATTATATTCTTCAATTCATATCTTTTGTTTCTCTCTGATCTGTCTATAAAAGGTCATTGTGCCGTATACCCCGTCATCGTCATCAAAATCAATACTGTGAGTCCTTAACGCCTTGTAATAAGGCACACACTGGCACGATACAGCCATCTGTATAATTGAATAAGGTACTTAACAGAATCATTTTGTTGCTAACATTTGCGAGTCTGACGTCCGTATTCACAAACATTACTATGAGGTCTCACAGTGCGCGTGGACGCACAGGGTGACAAACGAACCAATCACAGAGCTCTGTTCAACGTTGTGCGTTCGATTTGCTGCTTCACTTAAGAAAGCATC